ATGATGATCTGAATCAATCTATCTATTGCACTGCAGACAATCTTATGAATCTTATGCAGATAATACTATAGAATCAGATGACTGCAGCTGAAACAACTTAACATCTTACTATATCTGCATAAAGAGACACTATAAGAGATGAGTTGCAGAAATATCAGAAGAAAGTCAAATATATACTAGACATCAAATCAGTGATCACATTTGATAACTCTAATTATAAAGCCTGATGTGTTGATATATTGACTGATGCAGAAGTTATTGATGAAACTGATATTCTATTGAAAACTCAATGAGAATTCTCTTTTACATATCATATTAACTCTGAGAAGTGAAGAATCTGTTCTAAGTCTCTATATAGATGTATGCTATCAAGTCTTATTGAAAATGTTCAAATCACTATTGAAACCTTGAAAGCTGATAATGCTGCAGCTCTGTGAGACAAGATCAACATTGAATATATAATATCACTGACAGAAGAATGAGTTAATGTCTTCAAGAAATTGATAAAATTACAAGTTAAGAAGAATGATTATCTTACTTTTCAGAGACATTTCTGCTATCTTATTATCTGTTATAAAGAGCTCTGTCAGAGCACTGAGAATATATATCATGATCTTTTTCTCAACAATCTACAAGATTATCAAAGACTGTTTATTAAGATATATTTGAATGAGTTTTTCTTCACTGATCAGAGACTCATTATTAATATTGATATTGATGATTTAATGAAGTAACTGATCAATTATATATTCAAGAAGATTATCACTGAGTAGAAAAAGCAGTCTCAGGTCAATTCTATGACTGTGAAGAAGGACAAGAACAAAGATAAAAACAAAGATAAGAATAAAAGCACATCTGTATGAAAGTGCACTCACTGTAGAAGATATGAATATACTGTTAACAGATGTTTCATCTTACATTCTGATAAAAAGAAAAAGAAGAATGACAAGAAGAATGATAAGAAGAAAGAGAAGAAGAATAACTTAATAAGTTCTCAATCAGTAGTAAATGCAGTAATTACAAAGATTGAGTTCTATTTCTCTTTCACAGTCACTGAAAAATCATTCTCTAGATCTTGATATTTAAATACATGTGCAAGCCTGAATATAACAGATGAGCTTTATTCTTTTTCAAATATCAAATCTTTTAATGATAATATCTCTATTGATTCTGTGACTGAGAGAACTGAGTTTGTTAAGAAGATTGAGACTGTCATCTTAAAGATTGAGAGTGATGATGTTAACTTGCAGAATATTCACTATATTTCTAATATTACAGTTAATCTGCTCTCATTTATAAAGCTTGAAGATCAGGGATTCTGATTTATATTATCTTTCACTATTCTCTCATTTTTCATTTGCAGAGCCCTGAATGATGTTATTTTTCATGCAGTTTAAACTGCTCAGAACAACATATATAAGATTGATAAGCAGAAGTTCAATGAGAATCTCAATCATCTGAACAGAGCAGTCAAGTACATTGCAATGATATCTTATAAGTATGATTTTGATCAAAAAGTTGATCTTTCTGTGACTGCTGCTACTACTGTTAATAATATTGATTCTGTGAATGTGAAAACACAGATATCAAAGATATCAAAGACTCTTTTGAATTGATATTATAATCTCAGTCACATTTATACTGATGCTATAATTGCTATGATCAAGAATTCTCATACTGAAGTCACAATTAAAGATTCTAAGACTAAGTTCTTTTACAAGAAATGTGTCAAGACTGATATGATGTGAGATTATTTAAAAACACTGATATCTAGATCTATTCAACTCATTGAGAAGGTTTATATTAACCTTACAGATGATGAATATACATTGAAAGATCTCTCTGATCACATCTTAGAGTTCTGTCAGAGAATGAAATACTGAATGCTTATTATCTGTGATGCAATCTGCTATCATTGAGTGTATTTTTTAAAGTTCAAGAATGAGGCTGTTCAATACTTTGAGTTGTGACTCAGATTCATGAGTAATCTTGAGTATACAGTCTCTGCTTTTCTATGAACTGATATTAATGATGTTTTCTGATTCACATGTATGCACACAGTTATGAATTCATATGATATCAAATAAGAATCAATGATATCATATTCATCACATCAGAATGATGTTTCTGAATGTGAAATCTGTACTATCATGAGATGAGTTAGAGCTGCTCTTTTAAAAGATAATCTTTCTAAGAAGTTCTGAACAGATGATCTAGAGACAGTGATTACAATAATCAATAATACTTTCACATCTATGATTCTTTACAACTTGAAATTTTGATCCTCTACTATAGAAATCTCTGTGATTTCAAGTTCATATAAGATTTCTTAATATACACTTATGAATATCTCACTGAATGTAAGGCATTTTCACTGATTAAGTGCAGAGGTTTTTATTCACTTGTATAAATCTCAGCAGTCTGTGAATAAGCTTTCTTCACATGCTGATTTCTATTATATCATTGAATTCAGTAGTACATTGATATATCATCTATGACATTCTGAATCTGACAAGATTATTATCAGTAGTGATGTGAGATTTCTGATTACTGAAAAACCAGTTATCACATCTGTGACACTTATTAATAATGTCAGTGAACTGAAACTGAAACTGAAACCTGATATTCATCTGATTGATGATGAAGATGCTTCTGATATTAATGATTTAAATTTCATATGATTACAGTCTGTGAAATCACTAGCTACTTACACTCTGAGTCTTATTACAGATAATCTTTCAAAGTTCTACAAGAATGTCACATCTTGATCAGAGAGAGTAGAAGATTATTGAAAGAAGTTTATATAACACAAGATTACTAACCTGAAGAGACACAATACATGAAGTTTAATTTCTAGATCTGATATTCTGAGAAATGAACTAATTACTTCAGACTGTTAAGTGTTTCTTGAGAAAGATAGACCTATGAACTCAAATACTGATTTTGATAATATTCTTAGAAAATCATATTAAGTGATTTGTGATAACTAACTTAAGAAGAGTTCTAGAGAAGAGATCTATACTTCAGTTATCACTGATACTACTAATTGTATTCTTTTTATAATAGCAGTACTACACAGTTGAATACTCTGTCAGATGAATATAGTAATAGTATATCTTTATAAGCATCTCACTAAGAAGATCTATATGAGACAATTCACTGAATTTGAGACAGATTCACTGAAAACACTTGTCTGCATGATTGAAAGTAGTCTATACAGCCTGAACTCTGTAGTGAAGATCTGATATAATTACTTAATAGCTCTGTTAAGTGATCTTGAATTTACAGTCAGTACTCATGATTCAGTACTCTGATATTATACATTTAGATATTATCTCTATATAATAATCTATATTGATAATCTTAACATCATATCTGAAGCTTCTGAGAATGCTGATTGACTAGTGAGTATACTCAGTGAGAAATTGAAAATCAAGAATCTACATCAGTCAATTAAGTATTTAAGTATGAAGATTAATTATTTGAATAAGAGAATTAATTTAATATATTATTAATATATCAAATGTCTTATTGAAGATTTCTATCTTGATAATACAGCTGTTGCTAGAATATCAATGAAGAATGAATTCTGTATTAATAATTTCTCTATATCTGAGAAAGAGACTGATTTCACAATTCAGTGATATTAACATAATATAAGTTACTTATAATATCTTGCAGTTAAAACATGTTCTGATATCACTTACACTGTCTTACTACTCACTCAATGAAATGTTGATTCAATATCTCAATATTGAAAGACTCTATTATATATTATATATTATTTGAAAGAGATCATGAATCTGAGCATTTTCTATGAATGCAGCTTGTATAAGAGATCTGTTTCTTCTATTTCTTTTATTTCTACTGTTTCTACTGTTTCTACTGATCTCTCTGTTATCTCTGATTTCTCTGATGATTTCTACCTACTCTTCAGCTACTCAGATTCTGATTGAGTCAGTCTCTTAAATGATAATAGAAAATCAATATTCAGCTACATTTTTAAGCTCACAGATAGTCTGATTTCATAGTATTCAGTGAAGCAATCTTGTATATCTCTAAGTTTCAATGAGACTGAATATATGACTCTTAGTGAGATAGTTTACAAAGTAATATGAATTCAGAATCTCATGATTGAGCTCAGCTTTATTACTACATCTCTGATATAAATTCTCACTGATAATAAAAGTATCATAGATCTCACAAAGATAACAGTCATTACAGTCTGAAGTAAGTATATTGACATATATTTTCATTTTTCACATTGACAGTTGAATCAGAGAATCATTGATTTAGAATATATTCTCACTGCTTAGATAATAGTAAATGAACTCACTAAATCTCTAGACAATATGATATTTACATAATTCATGATTTTACTAGGTCTTATAGGTATAAAAGTTGAGAATGTTTAATTTTACATTTGTATTTGATTTTGACAGACTATCTTGGTGATTTGAGTGTTTTTTTTTTTATATGTGATTCTTGTTATCTTGAGGGGGGGTGTTGGCCCTTACGGCTGTTGCGGTTAGCGATCCCACTAGATCACGTGACCCACCACTATATTATGTTCCTGTAGATAGATCTATCAATACAACCTTCAACTATCCTACAGTTTGAACAGGTTGCAGACTAATCCGGCATGACACTAACCTACTTTTGATACAAGTCATGTGCTCAGAGCAATCCTCGCCAGAGGGTCTGAGAAGAAATGGTTCCATCTTCAATGGAGATTCCTGAGATTTACAAGGATTTTTCAGATTCTTTAACTTTGACTTTCTATTACGCAAATCCTTCCCGTGTTGCTAACAATCAGGAACCGTTTCTTCTCAGACGCTTTGCAAGATATCATCACTCACATGACCTGATTTTACTATTTGGGTTAGCTTATTGCTTATTTGAGATTAGCTCATGACATAATCATCAATCCAGTGTTAAAACAGCAATGGATAGATATCTGGAGAAGCGTCTGAGCTTGCTGAGATAAATCAGATCGATCAGATCAAGATCCATGACAATTCATGATCTGCTCGAGGAGAAATCCCTATTGTTGGAGCTAACCAAAGATCCTAGTGAGAGCGATAGTTACCCTGATTCAAATCCAATCGGCAGCCGGTTCTAGATTGTTGTATCAAGCCTACGTTTACAGCATCCTCCCTTTACCAGGATACGACGAGTTGGACTGCCACCATTCACACATTTTCATGAGATTCCACCAGACAAGTCTAACAGTATGCTCTCGATACCATAAATATGTCAAAGCGATTTCGCCCTCCATGGATACTATCGAATTCCCTTTCGAGGGACCAGTGACTAGGGCGGGTGCTGGTCATTTCAACCAAAGTTGCAGCAGTCTCAATCAAGAGCGTATGTTTTCTACAGGTTTTCCCAGGAGAGTAACTATTCCAGGAGGGGGATTATTGCGTGAGTCAGCAGATTATCTTGAAGTCTTGCTGAAGCTGAGTGTTGAAGAATCTGGGAAGAAGTTTCAAGTCTCGAGTCGGAGCAAAGGAAAAGGGAACAGGAGAGGAAGAAAAAAAAAGATTGCGTTATGATTAGTTAGTTATCATCATGGCCTTTCTCTCGACAACAACCACGCCCATCTGCTGAACTAAACGCCGTCTAGTTGAGCATCCCCTTCCAAGACCCGGACATTGCAGCGCAGGCAAAGCGAGGCCATAAGGCACTAGAAGGGTATTATTAAATCCATACGGGTTTTCGCACTCGCACTGTCGGCAAGCTACTCTTAACGGAGTAATCTGTCAAGGTGGTTGAAAGTGTGCACAATCCTCGGCTTTCCTGTGGCCAATTTATCAATAACTATCTCTTGGCCCGGCTGGCAGTGGGTATTGCCGGGGGGGATTAATAGAGAAATATACAGAGTAAATCGGAGTTCTTCCTTGAGACCTCATGGGACGGAGATAGAGGGAGAGAAGGACATAGGGTTCATATATGTATATTTTATATATGTATTTATATATATATATATATATATATAACACACAGTTCCAAGTTCCTGGCAGGATAAATATAGGTAACCTTTTTGAAGTCAGAGTCGCATCCAATAAACTCGCTGCCCAACCACGTCACCTAGCAGCGCCACCGTTGAATCTTGCAGCATTTTCTTCAATTTCCATCTGCCCCTCATTTGTTATTTCTCAGATGTTTGTTGTTGACTTCTCTCAACCTCAACCTCAACCTCAACCTCAACCTCAACCTTCAACCACACCTCTATTTTATTCGTTCTTCAAAATCACCACATCTAATCCTGACATTATCCCTCGCTTTCTATTCCATTTTTCTCTTGATATCTCAGCTGCCTAGCCCGGACCCTCTGGACTGGACTTCCCTGGATTGTCGTCTGAACGCCCTCCTCTCCTGGATTCTAGCCGCCACAATCTCTCTCTAACCGCTGGACATCAAGGACTCGGTGGAATCCCGCCAGTTTAGATATAACTACGATAATTAGCTAGCTTAGGTGTTATCATAGTCTCAAAAAGAAACAAGATACAAGATACAAGATACAGATTTCTACTTCGCTACCAGTCATCTTCTCTATCTCCATCCTTCCATCCCTCCATATTCCATCCCTTCCGCCCCCCTCTTGAAAAAGAAGGGAGAGAAATCGTTTTTTCTCATCTCTTAGATACCTCCCCTTTATTTACTCTGGAAGAACAAAAGAACAAAAGGGGCACCTCAGGCAGAATAGAAACTATGTCTTCTTCAGTGCTTCATCACTGTACTTACTGCGGTCACGATTCCGAGATCTCAAATTCCCTGGCTGCCTTCGCTGAAAACCCCTACTGCCGTCAGGTAATCTTTTTCACCTCTTTTTACAATGTCTTTCTTCTCATTTTCATTTTCCTTCTTTCTTTCCTCGAGAAGCCAGATACTCCCTAATCGGCCCCCCTTTCCCCCCCCACTAACTTGTTTCCCTGCAGTGTGGCCTATCCGCTGCGGAGGGCGATTCCAAAATGCAAGACGACCTAGCCATCCTCTTTGCCCGGCAGATGAGTGTGGCGGGTATCTCCAACCCAAATCAAAACACCGCAAGCCCTCCTCAATCAATGGTACCTGCAGTTATACCCCCGACCCCTGATATGTCCCCCTCACCCCCTTCTACCCCCTCCACCTCCATTCCCCGCCCAAATAGCCCTACAGCATATCTCAAGCACTACCATCACTCCCGCCCACCAGCTCCCCGGCACGGGAGCATGGTCAACGACGCTTTTCCGCCACCCCTGCACGCGATGCAGCAGGCAGGAATCCTCAGCAGAAGAAATGCTATTCCAACACAACGTGGACCCACCGCCCTCTTCCCATCTCAGCTGACCCTCTTCACGCAAGCAGACGTGGACCAGAAGTCGCGCCTGATCGAACTATGGCAGATTTCACGGCCGAGTGCTGGCAAAGGGAGTCAAATGTCAACTTCGTCCCTGCCGTCTAACATGCACTTTTCTTCCCAGGACGCCATGGCCACCGACGTGGATAGTATGGATCGAGATACGCGGAGTGCAACCGGAGTCGATCACAACCAACATGAACACGCAGAACCATACGTTATGTCTGGCTACGAGGCCCTCGCACAGCGCGAATATAACGCATCAGCCGCCAGGGATGCGTGCGAACAGGCGTTCGCGATGGCATCGCAATTTTCTGTTGCTGGTGCTGCTGCCGGTGCTGCTGCTGCTGGGACACCGGCACTCTCGTCGTACAAACCGGCCGTTGACCCGGTGTACAAAGGGCATGATTGGTGGGGTCATCACGACCAGCAGGGTCAGCAGCAGGGACACGGACAAGGTGTGTCAGAGGCAGAGTCGCTACTGCAGCCGATGGAGAATCAGTACGGCGCGTTCGAGCAGCGGAGTAATACCATGTATATGGGTTGTGGGATTAGGCGGGCGCATTGGCTGGATGAGCAGGAGATGCTATAGCTAGTTGTTTAGTTATCTAATTAGGTAAGTTGGTTAGTTAGGTAGATAATGTCTCCTCTCTTCTGAATATAGTGTTTATTTTGCTGATCGAAAGGGACTTGAGGTTTGATTGAAAAGAAATTAGTTAGGGCTTTTTGCTTCTTTGGGACATAAACGGCGTTTGAAACACTCCCCTCCCCCCTTTTTTCTCTCAAATTGTCTCAAGTTCGATCCTCCACACGGGTTATAGGGACAATTTTGAATTGCAGATTGATTGCTTGTGTTTAGGACGCAATTTTTATCGCTCTAGTCGCGGTGATAGGTTTCAGTTCTTTTTTCCTTTGTTCGCAGGGATATCCCAATATTGCCTTACAATCGATGCTCAGCTTCAATTTACTATTGTCTTCCAATCCGTTCATTACAACCCCTTAACATACACTTTACTTAATTTCCTTAACTGTTTTCCCCTAATTCATCCTTATTGTTTCCCCCTTTTCGTTATTATATTTTCCCCTTTTATTTGCTCCTTTTCTACTGTCCCGGCTCATACCAATGCCAAAGACGCTTTTACTTCCAACATATAGATAGGATCATTCCATTTCCTCGCTCTATCTCTCTCGCTCTATCTCTCTTTCTATCATATTTCCAATATGAAACTCGGGGAACTAGAATGATAAAAATGGGAAAAACATAAATTTCACGAAGGAAGTGTGGATCAAATCTCCTATCTCCAATCTATCACTCCGTTCATCTCATCTCATATTAGAAGAATACGACATCAAGCCCTCCAAATGTCAATGAAGAACTTGATTTTTACGCCCTAGGAACCGGATAGATAGTTCTGCAGCACAAAATAAGACCCAACCAAAACACCCCAGTCAGGTCTTTGATATTATTTCCATTGACATGTTCATTCAAATCTCTGTTTTTCAATTTATTACTACTGACAGACCCCCACGCAAATGTTAGCGGCAGCGATACATGAGAAATAAGTGACAGTTACAAACCTTCGAGACTATCAAAAAGCCGTTACTTTTTGACCGAAGGATTTTAATGTCGTCCGTCGCGCGAATCTCATAAGTGCTGCATCATTTTGGGGGCATACAGGAACCACAAAGCAATATGTTTTCCAAAAAAGTGGTGTTCGTTCATTAATCAAAACAAGCATCAAATGCTTGCTTACGCTCGCTTTTCCGCCTGCGCAGCCCCCTCTACCACTTCCACCCTCCCCCCCAACCACTCCCTACCCCCCCTTTACCACCCCTTCCACCCCTTACCCTCTACCCCCTCTACCACCACCACCACCTGCTACCACCCCTACCACCCCTACCACCCCTACCACCTCT